TCCCACTTTTTTGACAAATAGATGGGCAAAGGTCTCAAACAGGGATACAGCCACCAGCAAAATACCTGAGAGGGGTTCTAACCCCTCATCACTCTATCCAAAGCCTAAAAACAATGTTGGCTACACTTTAAGTGCACCATCCTAAAGTAACCAATTGAAAGTCAATTTACTGAAGTCAGAGCAGTACAATATGGATTCTGATTGGGTCCAATGTGTTACCGCAGTTAGGACTTAGTACTCAGTGATTGAGAGTCACTCTCTTACCTCGGTCTGTACCATGTTGACCCTCTGAGCCCTCAGTTCCCGCACACAGTTAAATATATCCACCACTCCCTCATTTTCTGCCATGTCCAGCATGATGTCGATAGCAATGAAGCAGCCAGTTCTTCCAGCTCCAGCGCTGTGAAATAAGACAACACTTAAAGTAGATCAAACACCCAAAACAACTGCCAGGTTTTTATTTACTTAAATTGCTACTTTTAAATTGTTTTAATTCTTTTTGTGTCTTTTCGCATCCTCACTTCACCTCATTTTTAATCCCTTTTGCTTTGGATGTCACTACTTATGTTGCATGTCCAGATCTTATCCTAAAGCTCTCCTTTCCTGGCGCCAACATGGCAGCATACCACATGCATGCTGCCATGAATTGGTGCCAGGAAAAAAAAATTACAGTAAGTTTTTGATACAATTTTCCATTTTCCTGGTGCCGACATGGTAGCATACATATGGTATGCTGCCATGGGTTGGTACCAAGAAAGGAAAATTGCAGTAAGTATTTGATACAATGTTCTGTTTTCCTGACGGTTAACCCTCTACCTTCATATCTGCCCTCACCTTCCTATTTGCAGGTGGCTCCTTTGCCTTGCATGTTCATTTGGAGCCACCCATTCATGCACATTCCCAAGAGAGGATTGCAGGTGCAAGAACATTGCCTGTGCCAATACACACAGGTAGCATGGGAAGACAGCACATGGCAGACATTCTCCTGCTGTTCCACCAAGAGAAGTGATCAACAGCACTTCCATGGCAACTGCTTTCAATCACTTCCATTGGAGGAAGAGCAAAGGCGTGTCTTTGTGTGTGTAGTACTGTCAGGCTGCCTGTGCATATGTTTGCATGAAGTGGCATGCTGGCACAACAGATGATGGCATGTGTAGTCCCATGTAGTAACAAGAAATGACTGGTAAAGATTTTCTCCCCAATCAGAAGTTCAGAAAAGAGGCACAGAGGAAGCAGGCTGGAAAAAGATGTAAGTTGTAATATACTATTCTGCTATTACTTTTAGAGTCATTTGCACATCATTATCTGGATCCCCTTATTGATAGTGACCAGGGGTGGACTGACCATTTGGAAACTCGGGCACTGCCCCAGGGGCCCAAGGTCAGTAGGTGGTCCCTAGAGATGCCCCTGGTACCTTTTTCCTAGGCTTTTTTGAGTTTGGGCAAGGACACGGGGGCCCCATGATCCCCTATTGCCTGGGGGCCCCATGAGTTGTCAGTCTGCCCCTGATAGTGACTCCATTCTTAATGCATGTGACAAAGTGAAAATGCAAGAGCACAACTGGAAGACAGTTATCGCCCCATAACAAGAAGTTGATCACAGGTATGCTTTTAAAGTGGAACTTTTGTCATAAAATAAAATCCCGCTAGATCACTTCAGGCACTTCTCTTTTGTGGGTATAGCTATGTAAAACATTAAAAATAAGTGTCTATGCAGTTTAAAATCCAGTAATACACTGTCTCACCCTGCACTGCACTTGCTGAGATCCTGAGGAAGTCATGTGTACATGACGCAACGCGTAGATGCGGCGTGGTGACGCACTTCCGGCGGAGCGCCATCTTGATACACCAGGTTATACACAGTACACCCATACTGAGTGGTGTGACAGCCTGCTTTGATCTACCTAAATGTGAGTGCATAACTTGGCGATTTTTCATGTTTTCAATACAATAAACAGTGTTACACTATGGAAGACCTGTTTTTTTTGTCCTTTCATGGTTTTAATGTGATACTCATTTATTGGCCTGCACTGCATTTACCCGTGTATGGAAGATTGATCAACACTGGAAGGAAGGTACCAGTGAGGGTCAGTGGAACCAGAGTGGCCTGGAGAGTTGTTACCTGTAGGATCCAGAGTGATCCAAAAGGTGTGTTGACCCATTTGGGTCGCATCAAGGAGGTAAGGGGGCATGCCTGCCATCTCAGGATATATTCTCACCATCTGCACTAGCACTGAAGCACTTTTTGTGAAGATAAAGGCACTTCTTTGCATTTATTGCAAATTTTGCATTTTTGTGCATTCGTTTTGGACACTTTTGCAATTGTTTTATGTGTATTTATGAATATTTATTATAGTGTATTGTATTTGGGTATTTTACACCAGTCACTATATTTGATATATATCCCACTTTTGGGATTCACCTTATATATCACCTAGAGTTTGGGGGTTTGGTCCTATTGGGATTGGTTGTTGTCACTTTATGAGGGTCCCTGTACCGGACCAGCTTCATCATATGCACTTTGTGTTATTGGTATTATCACGGTTTTAGACACTTTTTTTTAGATCTTGAAGGATCTATAACTCATTTATTCATTTATGTATTTTTTCATATTATTTATCATGTATTTGCACATTTAGTTTCAGCGCTACACCACTTTTTATCATTTTTCACTTGCTGAGTTGCTCTCTATTTTTCAACATTGTCCCTAAAATCAGAGTCATTAGAGCCGATCTGCTGACAGCCTTTAAGATTTATGCTGCTCAGGGGTTCTGGGCTTCAGCAAAATGGCAGCCTCCGGCAAGAAGAAACAGGATCAATGCTGGAGGCATTTTACAGCACGCACTAATTTTAGTTGCATAGTTATTAATGTGGCAGGTTTGTTCCTTGCTAAAGAGCATAATTTTTTTATCAAGTTATTAGAGGTAAAGGTCCACTTTAATCAAAGCCAAAGATTTTAAAATATCGAAAATAATTTCTGACATTATATTAACATGCTAAAGAGTATATGAGATTTTACTGATTGGGTTTAGTTCACTGATATAGAAAGATGCATGTTTACCCAGGATCATCTCTATCAACAAAAACCATGTTGATTACGACTGAGAATGGAAATTGCATTCTAATGGTGATGTGTATATTACACATTGAACATAAACTGGTGTATGGTAGATTTCCCCATACACCCATTTTGTGGTTTTCATGTTAGCAGTTTGTTACAGCAATCTCTAAAAATGTGGGAAGATCCTATTCTTTTATGCACTTATGCTGCTCATTAAAAATAACCATAATCAGTTTACTGTCACAGTATTCCAGCTAAAATTAAAAAACTAAAATGGGTGTACAATTCAAAAATATAAACCAGCACCACCAAGTGTGCAGTTGAGGGGAACCAAAACAAAATACAAAACCCACCAGAAAAAGTAGCCAATGAAAACACATGTCAGCGCCACAAAAAAAGAATGTGAAGACTGATTTTAATATAAATTTGATGACACTATACAATTGTACAACACACAACAAATAAATATAACCCACAGGTCAGGTGAAAAACATTTAAAAAAACAACCCCCCCCTAAAAAAAAAGTCAGTACACCAGTTGCTATAAATTTTTTCATCTATCAGGGAACTTAAATAGAGTCCTGGGTGACACCAATCCAGGACAATAAACCATATACATAATAGGTGTATTGTATGATGGGTGAACTGTGAGCAATTTTTTTTTTTTTGGATTACAGATGGCTGAGTTTTAACTACCTGAGCCCCAGGGCTTTTTTCCCTAAATCCCCTTGAGTTGCAGCACATTCGTTTTTCTTTTTTTTTTTCCGTTAAGTTTGAGTTCTGCACATGATATCTTTTAGGTGTTGTAGCTTACCCTAATATACATATTTTTTTGTAGGGGACAGATAAGACTTTAATTTGATAGCTAGTTTGGATAAATACATTTTTAATTCCTATGTCTTTAACGAGCATAAACAATATAAAATTTGAAATAAAATGCATTTTTCTGTAATATTTCCCAGTGCAATTTCTGCTTGATTTTCACACCCCCATATTTTTACCCGAGAATATAATGAAGAAAGTCTGCTGAATAAAAAGTTGATATCACATTAGCATGCCCCTGACTACGTCTTAGGAGTGACGAAATGCGTAGGAGAGCCTCGACGGGTGACGTCACTATGCACTGCTACGGACCACGGTCATTTTGATGGAAGGAAACTTTTGTATTGACATGCCGATGTTCATCCTGCTAATTGTAAGTGTAATACTTTACATAAATTATTACAGCTATTACATATTAAACTATGAGTGGTTAATTTTTCCCTCCTGGGCATTCACTGTGTGGAGATTCATCTGCCATCTAAGAGCTATATGATTCTATGATTCGGAAAATATTGTGTGTATTGTCTGGATATTCTGGGGAACCCATCTGCCAGTTCTTGGTACCTCAGCTAAGTCTGATAACTGTGCTGTTTGACCAGTCCTTAGATGGTCCAATTTTCTGGTAAGAGGCTGTGCGATTGGGTGGAAGGTAAAGGACTTTCTCTATCCTTTTGGTCTCCGGCTTCATTTAAAGCACCAGCACTTCCAGATTATGTGGATTTTATTCATATTTTAATTTGTGTTATCTACATCTTACTCAATTTTGGTAGGTGGCAGGTTACAAACAATAGTTATATGTATCATCAATTAAGCGCTACATTGACAATTTTATACATTAGCATGTCTGTTGCGTATCATCGCACAATGGTAAAGCTCAAAATGAATGTATGTGTTTTACTTTAGGAGAGCTTTATTCCCGTTTTGATGCTAAACTGCGCATGTATGCAGGAGTTTGCGTTGGTTAATTAGGTTACATTAAGATAAGATTATGTTGAGTTAAGAAGGGCACAAATTAGCAAGACAGTAACTTTTTTTTAAGTCGTTTGCAGTCCCTAAAGGCAAGCACAAAAGTCATCTAGGTCTTCCAATGTCATTATTGCAACCTAGGGATTAATCTGGAAAACAATTTATTTATTTTTGTTAGGATATACATATACTTATATACTTTATATCCTACTGTATTACAACAACCAGTGGTTCCAATGCAGAAGTTCCTTCTACTGGATGCCATTTTCAAACAAGGGTGGGATGAATAACAGCTATTCCAGCGTTGTTTTAGAATGTCACCTAAGACCAGGGGCGGACTGGCCATTTGGAAACTCGGGCACTGCCGGAGGGCCGGGGTCAGTAGGGGGCCCTATGAGATGCCCCCCTGCTACCTTTTTCATAGGCTTTTTTGAGTTTGGGCAAGGACACAGGGGCCCCATGATCCCCTATTGAGGGCCAACACAGAAGATCATGTGACCAGACCAGAGCGATCTGAAAATAGGTAATTTTCAATATTCCCATCACACACGTTCCCATTCCTGGAATAGGCATTTAAAGTATTGGGTGTTGCAGCAACAACCACCACCTGGAAACTGGAACATGCAAAGAACAGCGTAAATATTTGTCAGCAAACCATAGATCTTCCGACAAAATCCAAACAGTTTGTCATTGAAGAAAGATGACATCACAGCAAAGAAGTGCAACATTTCAGAGCTGCACAGGACCTCTTCATCAGGCATGTGAGGATCCATAAAAAAGTATGCTGGCAAATATTTATGCTGTTCTGAAAATAGGTACGTATACACTTCTTTTTTTTACACAGGTTAATTGGCATAGATTCTAACGAGCAAGGTCCTCTGATTCCTCCTGTACCAAATTGTATTGCAACTGTACTGTCTGCCTTCATTTTGTAAAGTGCTGTGCAAACTGTGGGCACTATATAAATCCTGTAAAATAATAATAATAATAGCTGGTGGGATTGGGGGCCCAGGCCAGTCCAATTTTCACCTTTCAGCACTGTCACACTTTGAATGTCAATTGCGCAATGACATTTTTATAATTTTTTTTACACAAATAGAGATTTATTTCGGTGGTATTTAATCACCACAGAGTTTTTTAATTTTTGCGCTATAAATAAAAAAAGACCCAATATTTTTTTTAAATAATTTGTTTTTATTCGTTTCTGTTATAAAATTTTGCAAATAAATAATCTTTGTACACAAATTTAGGCCAAAATGTATTATGCTACATTTGTTTGGTAAAAATTATCCAAATCAGTGTTTATTATTTAGTTGGTAGGAAAGTTAGAGAGTCCACAAACTATGATATATATCTAAAAATCGATAAACCCTGATGTTCTGATGGCCTCATTTCTTGAGGCCAAAAATGCCAGGACAGTACAAATACCCCCCAAATGGCTGCTTTTCAGAAAATAGACAGTCTAAGGTATTTAGTAAGAGGATTTGTGAGTTTTTTGAAATTGTAATTTTTGTCATAATTTGGTGGGAAACGAAGAAATGAAAAAAACATTTTCACAATAGTGTTTTTTACATACTGTTACCAATGCTGTACAGTATCATCATATAACTGGTGTGGCAGTGATCATGGACACTGACTAGCGAAAGTATGTAAAAAAAAAAAATATATATATTTTTTTTTAAAATTAAAAAAAATGTTTTTCATTATTAACATTTTTGTATTACTTTTTTTAATGTTTTTTTTCTACTTCTGTGACCAGAGCAATACAGTTTACCATAATAACATTGTACTACTCTGAGCACGTGATCAGGAATTTTACTGAATGAAACTGATTCATTCAGTAGTTTTTTTATGTGATCAACTGTGACTGGCCACAGCTGGTCACATGCTACAGATGGGCTGTGATTGGCCCAGTCTGTACATGTGACCACTGTGACCAATCACAGCTTGCAGCACAGTTGTAAGCAATGAATGGCATGAAAGGAAGCCAGTCATTGCTTACAACTGTCATGTCATCTGCTGTGATTGGTCACAGCAATTACATGATACTGGCAGCGGGTCGGTCTAGTGATCTGTCATCGGCCGTGTCCAGTAAACACAGTCGGTGGCAGATTGTGCCGGAGAGCGGCCCATGGGGCATGTGAGGCACGATCCTGGAAGGATGTCATATGATGACCTCCCAGGATAATAGGGATCCTGCTCGGCTGTACAATAGGCCAGGCGGGAAAGAGTTAAATAGCACCACTGACACGCTGGGGGTTAGTATTTCTGATACTGACAACAATGCTGGGGATTATTGCTGAGATTATTATTGCAAAAACTGGCATTGATTCTGGTAGTTTTTGGAGGGGGCGGTGTAAAATGATATGACAGGCCCCATGTGTGTGCGTGTTTGGGGGGGTGGTGCAATTGCCGATCTTAGCCCTTGGCACCAGTTGACCTTGCCCCAGCACTGCCCATAAACTCTTCAGAACAGATCCCCAAAAACAAATCTTTCAATCAGCTCCAGCAAAGTTCAATAGAAAAGCCCCCTCCCCTCAGATAGCATAGCTGGGACCTCGATGAGCAAGTGAAGAAGCACAGCTGGACTGCCCAGAAGGGCACTATTTATGCTCATTCCCAGTCACCTTCTGGGGACCCTCCCCCAGGGACTGGCTGGGACCACATAAATATTGACACTGTAAGTTTGACTTTCCCAGCCCTTCACCTTCCAGAACTATCCAGAAGGCAGGGGGAAGCAGTCAAACCCACAGCCTGTGAAACTCAGGGTAGACCAGAGCAATCACAAGCAGCTCCACAAATAGCTAAATGTATTTAACCTAGCACCTATCTAGGAGGATGCTACATTAGCAAGGCCTCATATTGAAGATGTAGTTCAGGCATCAGTTCAAAAACAATGTTACAGAGACTGGAAAGGGTACAAAGAAGAGCAATTAAAGTAATAGTGATCATGGATGACCTCAGCTAAAAGGAAAGAAGAACAGCAATCAAGTTATTACACTGGAAGAAGCAGAAATACAGAGGGGATATCATTACCTTTCACACACTGTATATATATATATATATATATATATATATATATATATATATATATATATATATATATACAGGTGAAACTCAAAAAAATAGAATATTGTGCAAAAGTTCATTTATTTCAGTAATGCAACTTAAAAGGTGAAACTAATATATGAGATAGACTCATTACATGCAAAGCAAGATAGTTCAAGCCGTGATTTGTCATAATTGTGATGATTTTGGCTTACAGCTCATGAAAACCCCAAATCCACAATCTCAGAAAATTAGAATATTGTGAAAAGGTGCAATATTCTCGGCTCAAAGTGTCCCACTCTAATCAGCTAATTAAGCCATAACACCTGCAAAGGGTTCCTGAGCCTTTAAATGGTCTCTCAGTCTGGTTCAGTAGGAATCACAATCATGGGAAAGACTGCTGACCTGACGGTTGTGCAGAAAACCATCATTGACACCCTCCATAAGGAGGGAAAGCCTCAAAAGGTAATTGCAAAAGAAGTTGGATGTTCCCAAAGTGCTGTATCAAAGCACATTAATAGAAAGTTATGTGGAAGGGAAAAATGTAGAAGAAAAAGGTGCACAAGCAGCAGGGATGACCACAGCCTGGAGAGGATTGTCAGGAAAAGACCATTTAAAAGTGTTGGGGACTTTCACAAGGAGTGGACTGAGGCTGGAGTCAGTGCATCAAGAGCCACCACACACAGACGGATCCTGGACATGTGCTTCAAATGTCGTATTCCTCTTGTCAAGCCGCTCCTGAACAACAAACAACGTCGGAACCGTCTTACCTGGGCTAAAGAAAAACAAACCTGGTCTGTTGCTCAGTGGTCCAAAGTCCTCTTTTCTGATGAGAGCAACGTTTGCATCTCATTTGGAAACTAAGGACCCAGAGTATGGAGGAAGAATGGAGAGGCACACACTGCAAGATGCTTGAAGTTCAGTGTGAACTTTCCACAGTCTGTGTTGATTTGGGGAGCCATGTCATCTGCTGGTGTTGGTCCACAAGTGCTCTTTTGTGCCTGGATGAAAAGAGGTCTGACCTCTGCACACAGAAAGGCTTCTTTGCAGTAAGAGCTTCCACAATGCTGAATAGTCTTCTGCCGGTATTCTAACCAGTTTAGTAGTGTACTTTTAAAAAGACAAAATATAACTAGCTAATAATATTTATAAGAAATACCATCATAGACTATTGATCCAGGGACTACCTGATTGCCTTTGGGGATTGAGAAGGAATTCTTTCCCCCTTTCTTTTTTAAGATTTTTTGCCTTCTTCTGAATTAACTGCCTGAGGACGTAGGTATATATTTTTTCTTATGTTGAACATGATGGATATGTGTCATTTCGTTGCCGGTAAACCTACAGGTATATCAGGATTTGTAAAGATACGACAGCCGTGTTTCCTCTATATACCAAAGGCCTCTTTCAATTAGATTTGTTGGACGGCAGGGCTGAGTTCAAGGGCAATGGTTTGCTTTGTGCCCTTGCAGTGAATCACCTTCCTAACAAAGATCTTTTGCTAGTTATAAACCAACTGATCAGTGTGATGCTTGTTTTTTTTTTTAATCATACAATGCAACAATTTCGCAGTCTGTGGCTCGTGAATTATATGTAGCTCTCCGTTCCACCTAATGCTACTTGTGTCATCCTCTCAGCAGTGTTCTGCTTTGAAGTACTTGTAATATCAGAATGCCTACTGAATTTTAGGCATGTTCTTCCCTATACAGAAAATCAAGCCAAGGCTATTAAAGTTATATCAATTCCTCAAACAACGTAACATTATTTTTGGTAAAAGTTATTCACTAGTTTACTTTTATTAAAAAAAAAAAATCATGCTTGCCTTGGTTTGCAATCAAATACAAAACCATAGTGGGCTTAATTCACTAAAAATCACCTGGGATATTTGGAGCATGTGACTCATTTGATCCAAATATCACATGCAATCAGTTTATTCGGTATTTACTGAAAAAGTAAGAAATGTGCGGTAAATACAGAATAAGCTGATCTAAAAGACGTTTCGTGAAAAAAAACCAATAGATTAATTAAATAAGTTGTAGTCTATCATGTACCTGTTAATCATTCACAATTTGGGGTGGGTGGGGGGTTCCTGGGGGTCCCCTTTTTGGTAAAGGAGGTTTCCAGATTCTGATAATTCCACATCGAGTTAGGACTGTGGGGAAGAGGCTCTTGTCCTCATCAACATGGGGATAAAGTGCTTCACCAGGAGAAGGGGGGTCCTCCTGGCAAAGTACCTGAAGGTCTAGTATAAACTAGCTGATGTCAGCACCTGTGGTGGTGAGCCTTTGTAGATACTCAACTTGGGGTTCCTCAGAGCGCGAAGTCTAAGCCCCAGCCTGCTTCTTCACCAGAG